AAAAAAAAAAAAAAAAAAATACAATTAAAGTTTTTATTAAAGTCCCTTGCAATCAATAAAAGAAAAATCTCTCTCGATCAAATAATCGTTGAAAAGTATATGAAGGAGGAGCAATTCTCGATTAAAATTTCAAATATAACAATACCGGATATTAAAAATTACAAAGTATTAAACTTTATCCCTTCTTTCATATCCTTTCAATTTATTTTTTAACCGAAGATTTTATTATACGAAAGTGAAGAGAAGAGATTTACCAGAGAAGATTCATCAGAAAGTATTCAAAACTTTTTTTAATACTTTTCTCTCTCTCCTCCTCAGAATTTTCATGTATACACGAAATTAATGCATTCTTAATATCTTCAGATTCAACTGTTGTAATTCTGTTCTCGATCGAATAAAAAATTGTAATTATCTTTCTCGCTTTGTGTGAACACAAGGTAAAGAAATTTTCTTAAATATCATTACGTTTAATTTGACACGAAATGAACATAATAAGATATTTGTCAAAAATGATCCAAGTCCAAATCCAAGATATTTGTACAACACTATGCATAAATTTAACGAAAATTTGCATGTGCAATTTACAAGATTAAATTAAAACCTTGTCTACACGCGTGATCCTTTGACTCGATTCCTCTGCTTGATTTTAAAGCCCTTCCTTTTTTCTAACCTCAATTTTCCTCGTCAAGCAAATCTCATTTCTGGAATCACTTCACATCGCGTTCGATGTCGGATCGACTTTTTCGATAAAATCGCATAGTTATTGATTGAACTATCGAATCAGATTAATACAGCCACCTACGATGCAACATAGTCCTGATTGATATTCACGGTGTAAAAGTATAAAAATGGTAGTTATTTGCATGAATAAATCGAACTAAAAATAATTAATAATCAATCGATTCGTGGTAAACGAATGGCGCGAAATTCAAATGGTTACAGTATAATTTATTAAATATAAATCATTATTGAATATAAATCGTATATTTTATAGTATTTTATAATATTGTGCATGGATTCGAACGTATAAAGGATAAATAGAAAGATAAAAAGATAAAAAAAGTGAAATAAATAAACGAAATAAATAACGAATAGAATTGATCGTGACAGCTTTATTAAAAATTGTTTATGTTATTTTTCGATATTCCGCTAAATATAATGGCGTAATATTGTCGTGTTTACGTCAGGCGATTATTTGGATGAACTTTTCATATTTATATTTTCATATAATGATAAAAATAAAATCATCGAATAATACAATTTTTAAACATATTATTTACTTTTGACAAAATATTACCGTAATTTCGATCTCTTCGCTTTTATCCATATAAAAATCCAAAATATTTTATCGGCCATCCCTTTATTATCGTGGAAATATCGTGCATTGTTGAGATTCGTAGGCGGAAGTAGTACAAGTATGCATATTGTCGGACATGGAATATCTCGAGTCCATACGGACAAACGACGAAAAGCGTTATCTATCTACATCTTATATCTGCTCGATTGAACGAAAGTTTCCTAATTTAACGCAAACTATTCTCTCAACGTATCCTTGTCGAGTTTAGAAAGTTGTTCGAAACGTCGAATGAGCTTTAAAATAGAATTATCGTTTAATTACATCCGCGCCGTTTTTGCATTGAAACTGATATTGATTTTTAAAATTAAGATTAAATTGTTGCGTATTTAAAAAAAATTATTTCGTAGCGAGATAATAAAATAATTTAAGAAAAACTCATTTATTAACACATTATGATACATATATTTATCACGATAATCTCGAATTAAAAACGAAGTTACAACGAAATACAATTATCTTAATGAATGATAAATTAAAAGTTAAATGGAAACACATATACGCGTTTCTCTGACACTTAAAGAAACATCAAGGAGGAAATAATTCGATCTATTACATTAGGGCAGATTATCCTTCTCGAAGAATCATCCTAATGAAAATATGCAAGAAAACGTATTAACTTTATCGTTTTATTACATCTAAAATATATCTTTTATATATCTAAAAACGATTAAACGTTAAGATGTTGACACGATGAAAGAGGGAAAAGCAAAATTAATTTTCGATTTAGCGGTTCAAGCATGGAGAAATTAAATATTTGCTGAAATTCCATGACCAGTAAATTCCCTTTTGATTTGCACGAGTTAAATTTTCCGAGTTTGGGAATCAAAGACAATTATC